AATACTTTCAGTAAAAGAACATGGTACATCCATATACTAATGGCAAGCATGTTGAAAACTAAATCAATGAATCAATCCCATTCATAGCAGATTCAAAATAAACTTAGATATACATCAAATCACTGCAATAATTGATTTCTATAATAACAAGTTAAAACTATAAAACACTCTCCCTACCCCTGTTGCCATGTCCACCTGACTTTCTCCTATGTGTAACATAACCAGCCTCTAGGAACAGCCTGGTCCATACAAGTTGTATATAACCCAGTCTGATCTTACAGTGCCCATACCCTGCCCAATCCTCTGATCTAGTACAAGTCCTATATCCAGTGCCCTGGCCTAGTCTGATGAACTTTGCTGATGCTGTCCTGAACCTACAGACTTGGACCAGAATGTACTTCCTGCAAACATTCCTTATATACCTACCCCATATGTATCTATCTGACTTTGGCATACTGTGCAATATCAAGTCTCTAGGCCCAGTCTGGCCTATATATTCTGTGCTCTGAACCAACCTGATGTGTTCACATCAGACACAGAACTGGTAAAATAAGTCCACATGCTCTGCCTTGTCACAAAAGTACAAACATTATGAAATATCAAGACATCTGCCCAGTCCACTGGTTCTATAGAAATATTGTCTAATGGAATGATCTAGATGTACCTCAGGACAAAGAACTTAAAAGAACATTCCTTATTATCATTGAAGGATTCAAAGACTTTAAAGAAGACACAAATTAACAGCTCAATGAATTTAAAAAGAATAAATGTTAGAATAATTCTCAAGACAATAATTTATAAGGTTGATGGAAATGATGAACACAATCCAGACATGGAAAAACAAATTAAATTAAAAAATAGAAATACTGAGTACAGTTCAAGCTGAAATAAAGATGTAATTAAAAAATTCAATAACCTAACTAAAACTTAAGGAGAAAGTCTGACAAGAAGAATGGATAAAATACAAGATGTAGTATCATGACTCAAAGTAGATGAATTAGAACACAAAAACACTACATAGGAAAATTAAAAAGAAAATATCAGAAAGAGGTTTATGACAAGTGAGGTAAAAGAAACAAGACACACACACACACACACACACCTATCCTATATAAAGTTCTGATGTCTAGAAAAAGATGTATTATCAGCACTCCTCAAGGTCATCATATTTACTCCTGAGAGGATTTCCCCACTGTCTTTGCCAGTTGATCTTAGAAGCATCCTTCAGGCCAGAGTCTTCATATACCTGCCAGAGAAGGCAGAGGATCCAGGAGGTGGCTTCTACCTGTTGTCCTTGTCTGTTGTCACTCTGGGTACTCAATGTTGGTTTCACTGAAAGTATCCTCTGTCAACAATGAAAGGTCTCTTCTGTCCATGCAAGACCTCACCTAACAGGGTCTGGGACACCTCATTCTCTCACTGCTAAGACACACTTAGGCTGTTTCTGGATATGTATGGCTTGAATGTAATTTTGTCATGGAATATCTTCTTTTCTAAAATCTATAGTGATTGAGAGCTTTGCCTGGTATAGTGGGAATGAATCTTATCTTTATTTTTTTATTTTTTATTTATTTTTTATTTTTTTGAATCTTATCTTACAGTGTGTAAGATATCCAGCTGGCCTCAGTGCAGAATTCTACCAGAAATTCAAAGAACAGCTTATACCAATTCTTCTCAAAGTATTCCACACAATAGAAGCAGAAGGGTCTTTGCCAAACTCTTTCTATGAGGCTTCAATAACCTTGATCCCCAAGACACACAAAGACACAACTAAGAAAGAGAACTTCAGACCAATATCCCTCATGAACATTGATGCAAAAATACTCAATAAAATACTGGCAAATTGGATCCAAGAACACATAAAAACAATCATCCACCACGATCAAGTAGGTTTCATCCCAGGGATGCAGAGATGGTTCAACATACAAAAATCCATCAATGTAATCCACCAAATAAACAATCTGAAAAACAAAAATCACATGATCATCTCACTAGATGCTGAAAAAGCCTTTGACAAAATCCAACACCCCTTCATGATAAAGGTCTTGGAGAGATCTGGGATAACAGGAACATACTTAAACATAATAAAAGCTATATACAGTAAACCAACAGATAACATCAAACTAAATGGACAGAAACTCAACGCAATTCCTCTAAATTCAGGAAGAAAACAAGGCTGTCCACTCTCTCCATACCTTTTCAACATTGTACTTGGAAGTTCTAGCCATTGCCATACGACAACAAAAGGGGATCAAGGGGATACAAATCGGGAAGGAAGAGGTCAAACTTTCACGGTTGCAGATGATATGATAGTTTACATCAATGACCCAAAGAACTCTACCAGGGAACTCTTACAGCTGATTAACACCTTCAGCAAAGTGGCAGGCTACAAGATAAACTCAAGAAAATCAGTAGCCCTACTATATACAGATGATAAATGGGCTGAGAACGAAATCAGAGAAACATCACCCTTTACAATTGCCACAAACAACATAAAATATTTTGGGGTAACGCTAATCAAACAAGTGAAAGACCTGTATCGCCAGAAATTTAAATCTTTAAAGAAAGAAATTAAAGAAGCCCTCAGAATATGGAAAAATCTCTCATGCTCTTGGATAGGTAGGATCAATGTAGTAAAAATGGCAATCCTGCCAAAAGCAATCTACAGTTTCAATGCAATCCCCCATTAAAATCCCAGAACAATTCTTCATAGACCTTGAAAGAAGAATAATCAGTTTTGTATGGAAAAACAAAAGACCCAGGATAGCCAAAACAACCCTGTTCAACAAGGCAACATCTGGAGTCATCACCATCCCTGACTTCAAGCTCTATTATAGAGCTATAGTCCTGAAAACAGCTTGGTATTGGCACAAAAATAGACAGGCAGACCAATGGAATCAAATTGAAAACCCTAATATTAACCCACACACGTATGAACATCTGACCTTTGACAAAGAAGCTAAAAATATACAATGGAATAAAGAAAGCATCTACAACAAATGCTGCTGGCATAACTGGAGGCTGGCACGTAGAAGATTGCGGATAGATCCATGTTCATCGCCATGCACAAAACTTAAATCCAAATGGATCAAAGACCTCAACATAAATCCAGCCACACTGAACCTCTTAGAAGAGAAAGTGGGTGGTACCCTTGAACGAATTAGTACAGGAGACAGCTTCCTGAACATAACACCAGTAGCACAGACAGTGAGATCAACAATTAATAAATGTGACCTCCTGAAACTGAGAAGCTTCTGTAAGGCAAAGGACACAGTCAGCAAGACAAAAAGGCAGCCCACAGAATGGAAAAAAATATTCACTAACCCCACATATGACAGAGGGTTGATCTCCAATATTTACAAAGAACTTAAGAAGCAAGTCTCCAAAACACCAAAGAATCCAATTAAAAAGTGGGTTGCAGAACTAAATAGAGAATTTTCAATAGAGGAGTCTAAAATGGCTAAAAGGCACTTGAGAAAATGTTCAACATCCTTAGCCATCCAGGAAATGCAAATCAAAACAACTCTGAGATACCATCTCACTCCTGTCAGAATGGCTAAAATCAAAAACACAAATGACAATTTATGCTGGAGAGGATGTGGTGAAAGGGGAACACTCCTCCATTGCTGGTGGGAGTGCCAACTGGTTCAGCCACTTTGGACATCAGTATGGAGATTCCTCAGAAAAATAGGAATAAACCTACCACAAGACCCAGCAACTCCACTCGTAGGCATATATCCAAAAGATGCCCATTCATACAACAAAGATGTCTGTTCCACTATGTTCATAGCAGCAGTATTTGTAATAGCCAGAACTTGGAAGCAACATAGATGCCCCTCAACTGAAGAGTGGATAGAGAAAATGTGATACATTTACACAATGGTGTACTATTCAGCAGAAAAAATGGAATACTGAGATTTGCATGCAAATGGATGACACTAGAAGAAACCATCCTGAGTGAGGTAACGCAGTCACAAAAAGAGAAACATGGCATGTACTCTCTCATATTTGGATTTTAGACAAATATCTGGGGAGTGCCAACCTACAATCCCATGGCCCGAGAGTCTGGGAAACAGAAACTTCATTAAGTGGCTGATGGAAGAAGAGGCAGACTCCCTTGGTTAAGTACTGAGCTGAACTCAAGCAAGCCAGTAACAGAGAGGGAGGACTGATGACCAAAGGAGTTAAGACTGGGCTGGTTTAACCCCAGAAACAGCTGACATGACAAAGGTTAACTCTTGAATCCCAGGCTGATGCCTGGGAATCCAACATGGGACTGATCCAGACCCCCTGAATTGGGTGTCAGTGAGGAGTCCTAGGTAATCTATTGAACCTTGGGCAGTAGATCAGTATACATCCCGAGTATACACATGGACTTTGGACTCCCATCCAACAATGTGAGATGAACTCTCACCCTGAACTCTTGTGTGGAGTGTGTAGGCCCTGCCCTGGATGAAATGATAGACTATGGACACCCCCATGGAGGGCCTCACCCTCCCTGGGGAAATGAGGGGATAATGGGGGAGTTGGGGATAGGGCAACGGGAGGAGGGGAGGGAAGGGGAGAGGAACCTGGAACTGATTTGTGAACCAACCATGTTTCAAATATAAATTTAAACTTAAAAATAAAAAAATTAATAAAAAAAGAAAAAAATAAATTTAAAAAAGTTTAAATAGAGTAAATCAGATGTGAGAAAACATTTTTATTAAGATTTATTAATTAGCTTTGCATACTTTGTTAAATGAGGCATACATATCTCAATATGTAGCATCTCAACTCATTGAATACACTCAAAATATTAAAGGAATAAAGAAACAAAATACAAAGTATTTTTGCTATATTTTGCTCAAGCCTTGATAAACAGTAATAAATGTTACCAAAGTCATGCATAAATGTAGATTCTAAACCTAATAACATGGAAACATCAATAAGAGTACTAATCTCCATGTAGAATAATAGCACAAACTCTTCACACAGACAAGTTTGATCTTGTTTCTGCCTTAATGCCTGTTCTCTTCAGAAACAGTGTAAACAGATTCAGCCACGAATTCTTCACTTTGGGCAGCAGTGGCTGCTGATTCATTATGTGAGATGGGCTTGTGTGTAGCACTAATCTTAGAGCCTCTTCTATGAGACCTTTGCTCTGCATCATCTCTGAATGCCTCCTCATACCATAATGAGAAAGAAATGGGATCTCTACCTGTGACTTTAGCCAAGAATTCCAGAACTTTCATCTTGGTGGTTTCAGCATAGGCTCTTGGTCCCCACTGGAACACATAACGTGGAGGCTCACTTTTAGGTACCTCCTGATACTCCAGGTAATTTTGTTCTATAAAAACACCAGTCAGAAGCTTTGTGGCGTCCCCATAGATGAAATGCTCCTCTCCATTGTACACTCCCATTATATTCAGGAATTTCCAGATACTTTCTTCTGAGGCACAATTCTCTTCCATGAATACCACACCCAGGATAAGTATCAGGAAGCCATTTGTTGGCATTCTCTGGTCTTTATCTTCATATGTGAGGTTCAGTGAGTTTGTGAGGACATAGGAGTGGTTTACAGGATTATTTTCCTTTACATCAATGCCAAAAATAATGTCCAAGCACTTAGAGGCTTCCTTGAAGATCATAGGGAATTCTTTCTTGTGCTCTTCTGTAACAGTGTTGAGCATTTCCAGTTTTGTGATGGGTTCCTTCATTCTATATTTGAGGATCATTAAATTCACTAAGTCAGTCACATTTTTGTTTTGTAATTTTTCCCATAAGGATTCACTGTCTATGACCTGCAAGGGGAAAATGTTTTCTTCTTCTTCTTCCTCCTCCTCCTCCTCCTCCTCCTCCTCTTCTTCTTCTTCTTCTTTATCTTCTTCTTCTTCTTCCTTTTCATTTTTGTCCTCCTTCTCTCCCTCCTTCTCTTCTCCTTCCTCTTCCTCTTCCTGTTTTTGGATACTCAAATCTTCATTTGAATAGATATATGAAGTGGAAGCAGGATGAGTACTTTGAGAACTCTGAGAAACACTCACAATATGGGAAGTGTGCCCTCCCTCTTTACCTGGGCTACCCTGAATCATAGAAAAGGTGGAGCAGAGGGAGCCCTTTAAAAAGAGAGTTGCAATGAAAGAGGTCTCCTTATCATGCTCCTTCACCTCCTCTTCAGCTTCATTCTCCTCCTGATTTTCTTCTTCTTCCTCCCCCTCCTCTTCTTTCTCATCTTCCTTTATTTTCTCCTTCCCTTCCACTATCAACTCATCATTCTTATCTTCCACCACCACGACCTCTGTATCCTTCTCTACAAATGTCACCTCATCATCCTCATCTTCCACCACCACGACCTCTGTATCCTTCTTCTCTACAAATATCACCTCGTCATCCTCATCTTCCACCACCACAACCTCTGTATCCTTCTTCTCTACAAATGTCACCTCATCATCCTCATCCTCCACCACCATGACCTTTGTATACTTCTCTAAAAATGTCACCTCATCATCCTCATCTTTCACCACTGCTACCTCACCCTGATCCTCAACGTCCAGCACTTCCTCTTCTTTGTCTTCCATGACCACCATCTTATCTTCATCTTCTTTGGTCACTACTTTATTGTCATCATTGTCCACCCCGATCACCTCCTTATCATCTTTTACTACTATTATTATGGCGTTCTGCTTGTCTTTTACTACTACTATGTCTTCCTCTTCCCTCTCCTCCTCCTTTTTGTCCTCTTCTTTCTCTGAATGATCTTCTGAAACTAGTAATTCCTGTGTTATGTTAGACTCTAGTACATCATCCTCAAAAGTGAGACGTGGGCGTTTTCTACAGGGAGGCATGAGGACTCTTATGGAGTTGGAGATCAGGAGTGTGTGTGATAGAATCCTGAATACCTGTTAAAAAATACACAATATGAGTGGACACAGTTGAAAGTTACATCATTGAATATTCTCACAAAAGCAGACATACAATTCTTTTCTATAGGTGATTTGAAGAGTCTCACAAATATATTGGCATTCTGGTTGTCTGCTTTCTAGCAACCTATAAAAAATTTAGGAACGTTCCTTTAGTTAGGTACAGCTAACTGACAGATCATTAGATGTTAACATTCATGGTAAATTATGTGGGGCCTAGTACATAGTGATTTCCCCTGTGCTTGTGTGAGCTTGATGCCTACACTCAGGCTGTGTACCTCACCTTAACTCCTGGCATTTCATGAGTGCTTTCTTCTTGTTGATTTGAAACCAATGTGTTTGCTGTATTTCCTTGTACCTCTGTAATTGGAATAGAGGTTCCTCTGATGCTCAGTGCTATGAGCACCACTATGATGCCTTGAAACTAACAGATGAATCCAGACTGTGAGATATTTGGAAGTCTGAGGTACGTAATTCTTTCTGTATTTTCCTTTCCCCTAGAGGGACATGACTTTGATCCTTCCACTAAAGAGAGGGTGAAGTCACAAAATAAGACCTCATGATCTTGTCACAAACAGGGGAAAGTAAAGGGACGCTATTTCTAATCATAACTGTCTTGAATCTCACTGGGGTGACAATAAGAGCTGACCAAACACATTAAGTATCTCAATCACTCCTAAGTGTGCGGTTCCATTATTTATAACAATGGTACCTTTGTAAGCCTGCCACTAATCTATCTGCTTGTCTTGGTATAACCTATCATACTAAATCCTCAATTCTTTGAAAGTATCAAGATTGTAGTGAGGTTGTGACAAGTATAACCACAGCCCCTTAAGATTTCCAACAATAGGCTGGATAACAAAAAATGGATGAGCATGTCTGCAGCCCTAAAAATGGACACCAATCACTAAGTCTTCAGTCATAGTCTTACCTTAACTCCTACAAATATCTAGGAAGCCTCTTTCAAATGACTGATAATATGTGTCTCCTCTTCAGATTGTAGTCTTTTCCGACCAGTGCCTTTTCTAAGAAGAAAGAAAACAGTGAAAAGGTATATAATCTGACTACAACTGCCAGGGGTTTCCAAGGCTTGTAGCAGATGCTGAGCTCTATTTCATATGCAGTAAAAGTTCCCCTGGTGTTCAATCATCATATTCATCTTCCTACATTCCAGGTTATGGATAAAACCATCTTCACTTGATATTGTTCAATAGAACAAAAAATCTCACGTCTCTGAGCCATCTTCTTCCATCTTTGGAGAGAGAAATAAGAAGAGCACAAATCTTGTCTCCCTGACTGAGAATAGGAGACAGGCTTCGTGACCCCATCATTTTAAGGTAGAAAGGAGTTTGGAACTCACAAATGTCTTTACCTTGACAGCTGCTGAAGATCTGAACTTCTATCTCTGTTCAGGAACTGTATCTCTCTCTAACAGGCCAGTGCTCTGTCCTCCATGAGATTTGCAAGATAAAAAGTAAGTTATACCATAGGCATTCCATTCTTGCACAGTGTCAAGTTCAGTATTTGCTGCTTCAGGGCTACTCTCAGTACACACATAATATTAGTCCTTGTTTTTGTAGCCCCTTCACTCAACTAACATAGTCCGTCCCATTAAATCATGTCCTTACTTCCCAAAGTCACACATTCATCGTATGGAGAAGATGTGAACATGCCACATCACGCCATTTCTTACCACAGCCTCTACAGCTGCTGATTCTAAATCTTTTGGGAAACAACCCCTTTGTGGTGTCACATATCAGATGTCCTGCATATCAGATGTTTCCATTCTGATTCATAACAGTAGCAAATTACAATTGTGGAATAGCAATGAAAAAATTTTATGGCTAGGGACCACAACAACATGAGGAACTCTATTAAAGGGTAGAAGCATTAGAAAGGTTGAGAATCACAGCTCTACAGACTGATATAAAGGACATGGTGGTGTTTCTGTGAAGCCCATTCTATGTAGTTGGAGGTTACCATATGACTTTTGTCAGTGTCAGTTCTTGTTAAATCTAGGACACCTCTCTGTACTCTTATACATTAATAATGAGGTTTTCATTTATTTCTCTTGAAAACCATAGATAAAATAAAAAATACATTGACTCTAGTGATCTCTAACTTGGGATGATAATACTGAGGGAGATGGTTCTGCCTCAGGAGATTAATACTGACTGTTGGTGGGCTTGTCCTGCATTCTGTTCACCTATAGCTTGAGTAATTCTAGCCACTTAGTTCCTGGTAGAGTTATCTCTGTTGAAGGGATGAAAACAGTGAATAGTGAGATTCTACAGGATCAATCTTTTCCAGGATATGGAAGGACTATGGAATAAACTTTCCTCAACATTCACTAATGGTCTTAAACTTCATTCTAGGCAGAGCTAGGTCCTCCTCTGATCATCTATGTAGCTTTCTTTTAGATCATAACCTCCTTTAGACTTCATCTCTGACAAAAAGTTAAGTGCAATCCATGACCACCTTTATGCACTCTCATAGGATTAGATGGAGGGGCATTAAGGACTTATGGTATCTTCTTTATAGTATTGCATTGCAACCACACTGCTTGTCCTTTCATGTTCAAAGCAAGACTAGGAATGGTATGCGCTCCAGTGTTTTTCTAATTTAAGGGAGTCCTTCACTTTTTAATGTGACATTGCCAGATCTGTAGCTTTCCCTGCCAAAATGATTGTGCTCTCTCAGAAAAACATTCTTATTTCCGTGAGAACCTCTAGTCAAATGTGAAGATAAGTGATACCTTTATTTATACCTAGGGTCTCCAAGGGCAGACATAGTAGAGACTAGATGCCTTTTTTAAAAGAGGGATTGACTTGTCAGCACTGGTGTATTTTCTTGAGGAATATAAATTACTCATCAAAAGATATGTCTCATCTCCATTTCATAATCTCAAGTAGTTACTGGAAGGCATGAGTCAAGTGCCACAAATGTATACTATAAAACCCTATCCTGCTAATATCGACACAGAAGATCTGGAAATGTTTTTGCAGATCCTTTTTGTCTGTAGAAAGATGTGTCATTACAGATCTTCAAATTACTTGTATTTACTCCTGACAGGACATGAGTTGACTCCATTCTGCTCACATGAGGGTAGCTCTCTAAGCCCAAGACAACTAATCCTTTAGCATACCAGGCAAAAAGGGGGGGATGAAAAGAGGTGCTATGTCTGATTGTGAAGTTTCTCACCATTGACAATGACAGGCTCCTTTGGGATTCCCACTATCTGTAATGGGAGGACTCCTTGTTCTAATCTGAATCTCCATCTTAAAGCCTAAAGAGTCCAGGATGCCTCTATTTTTCAATGCATACCAAGACAACCCAGATAAACACAAATCAGTGAATCTAATGTCTACTTATGGACACACTGCACACTGAAATTAATCCTCAGCTTCACTTGGGCTGAAAGCAGAAAATAGGCATGGCTCAGGGACTCCTTATTCACTGTTTAACCCACACTTACCCTTTCCATAGGGCCAACATCTTAGAATCTTTCCAGGCCAGGGAATGTGCCTTTAATGATAGCAGGATGGGTAAGCCATTTCTAATAATCTACAGAGGAAAGGCTCACCAGTCTCAGTATTTTTAATTCCTTGAGGCTTTAGCATTCCCTACACCAGCTTGAACTGATCCCTTTGGGAGAAAATTCCCCTTCACGTTTAAGATTGTTGTCTGAATACATGACATTTGATAACCCTGATTAGTGTCTCCCAGATATAATCCAAAGACAAATTATTATAGCCTGTGCTACTGTGTCCTATGCCATTTCCCTAGTTGGGACCTAGGAAATGGCATAAACTACAAAAGCACAATGTTTTTCCCATCAAAATTTTTCTAGAATTGGGGAGGTCTGCATCTTGCTATATGTAAAATATGTAAATTCCTTGAATTATCAATCAAAGTCTTCCCTTTAACATACACTGACCAAACCTTAGCCCCTTCCATACACACACATAAAATACACACACACACACACACACACACACACACACACAACAAAACAAAAATACTTGCCTTCCACAGCCTTCTAATAATAAACTGGGGAAATAGAAATAGCACACCAAAATTAAACTGCTCATATTGGCTATAGCTCCCCAAAGATGAAAGCTAAGGAAGTCAAAGTAATCCACTTGCATCACTATATCTGTGACCAAAGAGTAGACTTCCAAACTTCCCCCAAAGAACTTCCTGTCTTCCTTCAGGGTACAGTGATCTTTTCCCAAAGGTGGGCATCCTTCTTTACTACTTTACTCCATTCACATACATCCCCTTGCCACATAATAATCAAGGCCCCAAACATACAGAATAAATAAAGGACATCTGCTCAACTATGTTCATAGTAGCATTATTTGTAAGATCCAGAATGTGGAAGCAACCTAGATGCCCCTCAACTGAACAGTGGATAGAGAAAATGTGGTACATTTACAGAATGGAGTACTGTATTATTCAGTGGAAAAAAATATGGATTCTTGAAATTTGAAGGCAAATGGATGGCACTAGAGGAAACCATCCTGAGTGAGGTAGCTCAACCACAAAAAGACAAACATGGTAAGGACTCACTCATATATGGATTTTAGACGGGGAACAGGGGATTGTCAGGCTACAATCCCACTGCCAGAAAGTCTGAGAAATAAGGAGACCCTAAGAACATATGC